CCAGAGGGGCTATGTGCAGGCTGTGGGGGGCCTGGATCTCCAGGGGGGCTATATGCAGGCGTGGGGGCGGCCTGGATCTCCATGGGGGTTAAGGTTAGGTGTGGGGAGGGCCTGGATCTCCATGGGGGCTATGAGGTTAGGTGTGGGGAAGGCCTGGATCTCCATGGGGGTTAAGGTTAGGTGTGGGGAAGGCCTGGACCTCCAGGGGGGCTATGTGCAGGCGTGGGGGCGGCTGGATCTCCTCATGGGGGTTAAGGTTAGGTGTGGGGAAGGCCTGGATCTCCAAGGGGGTTAAGGTTAGGTGTGGGGAGGGCCTGGATCTCCAGGGGGGTTATGTGCAGGCGTGGGGGGCGGCCTGGATCTCCAGGGGGGCTATGTTAGGTGTGGGGGCGGCCTGGATCTCCAGGGGGGCTATGTGCAGGCGTGGGGGGCGGCCTGGATCTCCATGGGGGTTAAGGTTAGGTGTGGGGAAGCCCAGGACCTCCAGGGGGGCTATGTGCAGGCGTGGGGGCGGCCTGGATCTCCAGGGGGGCTTAATTATCCCCCAGGCGTGGGGGCGGCCTGGATCTCCATGGGGGTTAAGGTTAGGTGTGGGGAAGGCCTGGATCTCCATGGGGGTTAAGGTTAGGTGTGGGGAGGGCCTGGATCTCCATGGGGGTTAAGGTTAGGTGTGGGGAGGCCTGGATCTCCATGGGGGTTAAGGTTAGGTGTGGGGAAGGACCTGGACTCCAGGGGGGCTATGTGCAGGCGTGGGGGCGGCCTGGATCTCCAGGGGGTTAAGGTTAGGTCTGGGGAAGGCCTGGACCTCCAGGGGGGCTATGTGCAGGCGTGGGGGCGGCCTGGATCTCCATGGGGGTTAAGGTTAGGTGTGGGGAAGGCCTCGACCTCCAGGGGGGCTATGTGCAGGCGTGGGGGCGGCCTGGATCTCCATGGGGGTTAAGGTTAGGTGTGGGGAAGGCCTGGATCTCCATGGGGGTTAAGGTTAGGTGTGGGGAGGGCCTGGATCTCCGTAGGGGTTAAGGTTAGGTGTGGGGAGGGCCTGGATCCCCATGGGGGTTAAGGTTAGGTGTGGGGAAGGCCTGGATCTCCATGGGGGCTATGTGCAGGCGTGGGGGCGGCCTGGATCTCCATGGGGGTTAAGGTTAGGTGTGGGGAAGGTCTGGATCCCCATAGGGGGGCTATGTGCAGGCGTGGGGGCGGCCTGGATCTCCATGGGGGTTAAGGTTAGGTGTGGGGAAGGCCTGGATCTCCATGGGGGTTAGGGTTAGGTGTGGGGAAGGCCTGGATCTCCATGGGGGTTAAGGTTAGGTGTGGGGAAGGCCTGGATCCCCATGGGGGTTAAGGTTAGGTGTGGGGAAGGCCTGGGACCTCCATGGGGGTTAAGGTTAGGTGTGGGGAAGCCCTGGATCTCCAGAGGGGGTTATGTGCAGGCTTGGGGGCGGCCTGGATCTCCAGGGGGGCTATGTGCAGGCGTGGGGGCGGCCTGGATCTCCATGGGGGTTAAGGTTAGGTGTGGGGAAGGCCTGGATCTCCAGGGGGGTTGTGAGGTTAGGTGTGGGGAAGGCCTGGATCTCCATGGGGGTTAAGGTTAGGTGTGGCAGAACCGGTGACAAAGGGCAGCCCTGTCGGAGGCCAACATGCACCGGGAACAGGTCTGACTTACTGCCGGCAATGCGAACACAGCTCTGGCTCCGGTCATACAGGGACCGGACGGCCCTCAGCAGAGGACCCCGGACCCCGTACTCACGGAGGACCCCCCAAAGGACACCCCGGGGAACGCGGTCGAACGCCTTCTCCAAGTCCACAAAGCACATGTGGACAGGTTGGGCGAACTCCCATGAGCCCTCGAGTATCCAGGGTACTCAGAGTATCTGAGAAGGAAGAGTGTGGAGCAAATCTCTCGAGTATGTGCATATATTCACGTATGCCACAGACACAAGGACAGGTATTCGGCTCGTCACAACGGACAAACAACGCTCTTGTCACTATCGCACACAGATTCTGAAAAGGGAATACTTTAGATTTGAGAATATTTGATAAAAATCCAAGGTTTGGTAGAGACTTGGGAGCCACAGTCGAGCAGGTGCCGTTGATCGACCTCGGCGCATCAAAGCCCGACCAACACCATTCACTCATTACTATTGTAGATGGTTTTTTTGGTAAGGGAAACCGGAGCACCCAGAGGAAACCTACGAAGACCTGGGGAGAACATGCAAACTCCACTCAGGAATAATATTAATAATACTACATCTTTAAAAACAGTGTTTGCAAAACTCTGCACAGTCAGCATAAAAAAACAATAAAAGAGTCATAATAATCCAAAGTCAAAATAATAAGAGGAAGAAAAAGCAAACAGAGAAGACACAAGAAGAAGGACAAAACAAAGACAAAGCAGACAGTAAAATACAACATGAGAAGTTTGAAGCTGACAGTTAAAAGCTGTTCGATAAAATGCGTTTTAAGAATTAATTTAAAAGAGCAGGTCGGGCAGGTTGTTCCAAAGCCGAGGAGGCCGGACAGAGAGGGTTCTATCAAGTTCATAAATATAGCCAGACCCTAAACAAGCTTTAAAAGGGATCCGTAAAAACTTAAAATCAATTCTCATTTCATTTTTTTCATTTTTTTATTTATTTCATTCATTTAAAAACAAATGCAACAACAGCATTTAGCATGAATGAAAAGGAGCAGAAAGAAGTAAAAACTTATAATGTCTGCCCCCTATCTCTAATTCTAAAACACAAAAGGAGCCAGTGGAGGGACGCTAACACAGCGGTGATGTGCTCCCTTCTGTTCAAACCAGTGAGAAGTCTGCTGCGTCTGGACCAGTTGGAGGCGGGAGAGGGATTTGGAGTCGAGACTGGAGAGGAGGGAGTTGCAGTCGTCGAGGCGGGAGAAGATGAGGGCCCCATTCCAACCGGGATTCAAACCCAGGACCTTGTTGCTGAGAAGCGAAAGGGCTAACCACTCAGCCACCGTGTCGCCCAAAGTCAAAGATGGTAGACAAAGAGCAGAGGAAAGTCGTGGTGGAGGAAGTGGCAGTTCCAAGCGATGGTAATATTAGGCAAAAAGGGCGGTTGTAATTGCACTATTGTCACAGACGACAGGACTGTGAGTGTGAGTGTGACTGTGGGACGTGAAGTGCTAAAGTGTGCAGTGTGACTGTGGGACGTGAAGTGCTAAAGTGTGCAGTGTGACTGTGGGACGTGAAGTGCTAAAGTGTGCAGTGTGACTGTGGGACGTCAAGTGCTAAAGTGTGCAGTGTGACTGTGGGACGTGAAGTGCTAAAGTGTGCAGTGTGACTGTGGGACGTGAAGTGCTAAAGTGTGCAGTGTGACTGTGGGACGTCAAGTGCTAAAGTGTGCAGTGTGACTGTGGGACGTGAAGTGCTAAAGTGTGCAGTGTGACTGTGGGACGTGAAGTGCTAAAGTGTGCAGTGTGACTGTGGGACGTGAAGTGCTAAAGTGTGCAGTGTGACTGTGGGACGTCAAGTGCTAAAGTGTGCAGTGTGACTGTGGGACGTGAAGTGCTAAAGTGTGCAGTGTGACTGTGGGACGTCAAGTGCTAAAGTGTGCAGTGTGACTGTGGGACGTGAAGTGCTAAAGTGTGCAGTGTGACTGTGGGACGTGAAGTGCTAAAGTGTGCAGTGTGACTGTGGGACGTGAAGTGCTAAAGTGTGCAGTGTGACTGTGGGACGTCAAGTGCTAAAAAGAAGGTGTCGTTTTCTCGTTTGGTGACTATGAAACAGATGCTGGTGTTTTGCTGCTACCACACTCCCACTTTTCATAAAACACAACAAAAATGTAAAAACACAAACAGCAATTATAGCTTTTACCCAAATCAACAGAAGCATGCTCAATAGTGGCTGTAATTAGGTCAGTGGATATTTCCCGCACCACACCTGGGCCTGGGGTAAAAGGAGGCCATCAATAACACATGTCTGGGGTTCTGCAGCGTTTGCTCTGAGGCTGCAGACACTCGCATTAGCATAAATATGATGACTGCAATCATGTGCATGATGAGGCTCTGTCTTTGACTCACACAGATCTGCAAACACAGACATGATGAGGCTCTGTCTTTGACTCACACAGATCTGCAAACACAGACATGATGAGGCTCTGTCTTTGACTCACACAGCTCTGCAAACACAGACATGATGAGGCTCTGTCTTTGACTCACACAGATCTGCAAACACAGACATGATGAGGCTCTGTCTTTGACTCACACAGATCTGCAAACACAGACATGATGAGGCTCTGTCTTTGACTCACACAGATCTGCAAACACAGACATGATGAGGCTCTGTCTTTGACTCACACAGATCTGCAAACACAGACATGATGAGGCTCTGTCTTTGACTCACACAGATCTGCAAACACAGACATGATGAGGCTCTGTCTTTGACTCACACAGATCTGCAAACACAGACATGATGAGGCTCTGTCTTTGACTCACACAGATCTGCAAACACAGACATGATGAGGCTCTGTCTTTGACTCACACAGATCTGCAAACACAGACATGATGAGGCTCTGTCTTTGACTCACACAGATCTGCAAACACAGACATGATGAGGCTCTGTCTTTGACTCACACAGATCTGCAAACACAGACATGATGAGGCTCTGTCTTTGACTCACACAGATCTGCAAACACAGACATGATGAGGCTCAGTCTTTGACTCACACAGATCTGCAAACACAGACATGATGAGGCTCTGTCTTTGACTCACACAGCTCTGCAAACACAGACATGATGAGGCTCTGTCTTTGACTCACACAGCTCTGCAAACACAGACATGATGAGGCTCTGTCTTTGACTCACACAGATCTGCAAACACAGACATGATGAGGCTCTGTCTTTGACTCACACAGATCTGCAAACACAGACATGATGAGGCTCTGTCTTTGACTCACACAGATCTGCAAACACAGACATGATGAGGCTCTGTCTTTGACTCACACAGCTCTGCAAACACAGACATGATGAGGCTCTGTCTTTGACTCACACAGATCTGCAAACACAGACATGATGAGGCTCTGTCTTTGACTCACACAGATCTGCAAACACAGACATGATGAGGCTCTGTCTTTGACTCACACAGATCTGCAAACACAGACATGATGAGGCTCTGTCTTTGACTCGCACAGATCTGCAAACACAGACATGATGAGGCTCTGTCTTTGACTCACACAGATCTGCAAACACAGACATGATGAGGCCCAGTGTCTTTGACTCACACAGATCTGCAAACACAGACATGATGAGGCCCAGTGTCTTTGACTCCCACAGCTCTGCAAACACAGACATGATGAGGCCCAGTGTCTTTGACTCACACAGATCTGCAAACACAGACATGATGAGGCCCAGTGTCTTTGACTCCCACAGATCTGCAAACACAGACATGATGAGGCTCTGTCTTTGACTCACACAGCTCTGCAAACACAGACATGATGAGGCTCTGTCTTTGACTCACACAGATCTGTAAACACAGACATGATGAGGCTCTGTCTTTGACTCACACAGATCTGCAAACACAGACATGATGAGGCTCTGTCTTTGACTCACACAGCTCTGCAAACACAGACATGATGAGGCTCTGTCTTTGACTCACACAGCTCTGCAAACACAGACATGATGAGGCTCTGTCTTTGACTCACACAGATCTGCAAACACAGACATGATGAGGCTCTGTCTTTGACTCACACAGATCTGTAAACACAGACATGATGAGGCACTGTCTTTGACTCACACAGATCTGCAAACACAGACATGATGAGGCTCTGTCTTTGACTCACACAGATCTGCAAACACAGACATGATGAGGCTCTGTCTTTGACTCACACAGATCTGCAAACACAGACATGATGAGGCACTGTCTTTGACTCACACAGCTCTGCAAACACAGACATGATGAGGCTCTGTCTTTGACTCACACAGATCTGCAAACACAGACATGATGAGGCACTGTCTTTGACTCACACAGATCTGCAAACACAGACATGATGAGGCTCTGTCTTTGACTCACACAGATCTGCAAACACAGACATGATGAGGCACTGTCTTTGACTCACACAGCTCTGCAAACACAGACATGATGAGGCTCTGTCTTTGACTCACACAGATCTGCAAACACAGACATGATGAGGCTCTGTCTTTGACTCACACAGATCTGCAAACACAGACATGATGAGGCTCTGTCTTTGACTCACACAGATCTGCAAACACAGACATGATGAGGCTCTGTCTTTGACTCACACAGCTCTGCAAACACAGACATGATGAGGCTCTGTCTTTGACTCACACAGATCTGTAAACACAGACATGATGAGGCTCTGTCTTTGACTCACACAGCTCTGCAAACACAGACATGATGAGGCTCTGTCTTTGACTCACACAGATCTGCAAACACAGACATGATGAGGCTCTGTCTTTGACTCACACAGATCTGCAAACACAGACATGATGAGGCTCTGTCTTTGACTCACACAGATCTGCAAACACAGACATGATGAGGCTCTGTCTTTGACTCACACAGCTCTGCAAACACAGACATGATGAGGCTCTGTCTTTGACTCACACAGCTCTGCAAACACAGACATGATGAGGCTCTGTCTTTGACTCACACAGCTCTGCAAACACAGACATGATGAGGCTCTGTCTTTGACTCACACAGATCTGCAAACACAGACATGATGAGGCACTGTCTTTGACTCACACAGCTCTGCAAACACAGACATGATGAGGCTCTGTCTTTGACTCACACAGCTCTGCAAACACAGACATGATGAGGCTCTGTCTTTGACTCACACAGATCTGCAAACACAGACATGATGAGGCTCTTACACAACACTTACACGGGCATGATGTCTATAAGTCAATGGCCGCAATAAATGGCCTTGTGTGTACATTATTATTGTGTGTACATTATTATTTTTTGCGGTAGGAACTGTGAAAACTGTTTTTTTGTCGTGTTGTTTTAGAGAGAGATCTAAAGATTGTTGACAGCAGCTGTTGTCATGCACTTTATGCTCCTCATGTTTAAGGAAAGGAGCCTAGGATAATTAAATCACATGGTATGTGCGAACAGTGTATGTTTATGGTGTTTCTGTAGCTGCTGTATTTTTAACAGGGGGGGTTGCACCCAACACTACCCTCTTTTCAGCCGGGCTTGGGACCGTCCTACGCGGAGTTAAAATGAACATATGGTATGCTAGTTTTTGTAGTTTTAAAAAGGTTGCCTTATTAAGAAGAAGAAGAAGAAGAAGAATGTGTCATGAGGTGGGAAGCAGGACAACTCAAAATGCAGGAACGCCAAAATAATGATTTAATAAAATAAAAGTCCAGAAGAAAACAAAACTCAAAATCCAAAAACGGAACCAGGAACAAAGACAATACAGGATTTCACCAAAACAATGAACCAGCAACAAGGAAGAGGAGCACAGGTACATTCAGACACAGGTACATACAGACACAGGTACACAGGTACATTCAGACACAGGTACACAGGTACACACAGACACAGGTACATTCAGACACAGGTACATACAGACACAGGTACATTCAGACACAGGTACACAGGTACATACAGACACAGGTACATTCAGACACAGGTACATACAGACACAGGTACATTCAGACACAGGTACACAGGTACATTCAGACACAGGTACATACAGACACACACAGACACAGGTACACAGGTACATTCAGACACAGGTACACACAGACACAGGTACATACAGACACAGGTACATTCAGACACAGGTACACAGGTACATACAGACACAGGTACATTCAGACACAGGTACACAGGTACATTCAGACACAGGTACATACAGACACACACAGACACAGGTACATTCAGACACAGGTACACAGGTACATACAGACACAGGTACACAGGTACATACAGACACAGGTACACAGGTACATACAGACACACACAGACACAGGTACATTCAGACACAGGTACACAGGTACATACAGACACAGGTACACAGGTACATTCAGACACAGGTACACAGGTACATTCAGACACAGGTACACAGGTACACACAGACACAGGTACATTCAGACACAGGTACATACAGACACAGGTACATTCAGACACAGGTACACAGGTACATACAGACACAGGTACATTCAGACACAGGTACATACAGACACAGGTACATTCAGACACAGGTACACAGGTACATTCAGACACAGGTACATACAGACACACACAGACACAGGTACACAGGTACATTCAGACACAGGTACACACAGACACAGGTACATACAGACACAGGTACATTCAGACACAGGTACACAGGTACATACAGACACAGGTACATTCAGACACAGGTACACAGGTACATTCAGACACAGGTACATACAGACACACACAGACACAGGTACATTCAGACACAGGTACACACAGACACAGGTACACACAGGTACATACAGACAAAGGTACATAGGTACATACAGACACAGGTACACAGGTACATACAGACACAGGTACATACAGACACAGGTACATTCAGACACATGTACACACAGACACAGGTACACACAGACACAGGTACATACAGACACAGGTACATTCAGACACAGGTACACAGGTACATACAGACACAGGTACATTCAGACACAGGTACACAGGTACATACAGACACAGGTACATACAGACACACACAGACACAGGTACATTCAGACACAGGTACATACAGACACACACAGACACAGGTACATACAGACACAGGTACATACAGACACACACAGACACAGGTACATACAGACACAGGTACATACAGACACACACAGACACAGGTACATTCAGACACAGGTACATACAGACACACACAGACACAGGTACATACAGACACACACAGACACAGGTACATACAGACACAGGTACATACAGACACAGGTACACAGGTACATACAGACACAGGTACATACAGACACAGGTACACAGGTACATACAGACACAGGTACATACAGACACAGGTACACAGGTACATACAGACACAGGTACATACAGACACAGGTACATATAGACACAGGTACACAGGTACATACAGACACAGGTACATACAGACACAGGTACATACAGACACAGGTACACAGGTACATACAGACACAGGTACACAGGTACATACAGACACAGGTACATACAGACACAGGTACACAGGTACATACAGACACAGGTACATACAGACACAGGTACACAGGTACATACAGACACAGGTACATACAGACACAGGTACACAGGTACATACAGACACAGGTACATACAGACACAGGTACATATAGACACACACAGACACATCAGGGCGGGGCAGACAATCAACACAGGGGAACAGGACATGGAGTAAAACTGAAATAAAACCAGAGAAATAATGTCAAAATATAACCAAAATACAAAATTATAATCCACACCATGACAGAAGGTCCTTTATTGGTCCCGCAATGGGGACATTTCAGTTTGATGCATACACATACATATACATATACACATACATATACACACTCCCCCCTTGGACCGCCACCTTAACGTGGTGGGGGAGTTTGAGCACTCGGATGATCCTGGGAGCTATGCTGTCTGGGGCTTCATGCCCCTGGTAGGGTCTCCCATGGCAGACAGGTCTCAAGTGACGAGTCAGACGAAGCGCAGTCCGAAGCCAACCATGGACAGCACGACAATGAGAACCGTGACGTCGCCCGGCATGGCGCAGCCGGGGCCCCACCCTGGAGCCAGGCCTGGGGTCGGGGCTCGAATGCGAGTGCCTGGTGGCCGGGCCTTAGCCCACGGGGCCCGGCCGGGCTCAGCCCGAAGGGACGACGTGGGCAGTCCCTCCTGTGGGCCCACCACCTGCAGAGGGGTCCGTGGTGGTGCGGGCAGCAGTCGAAGCGGAGACCAACTCCCTCGACACAGCGACAAACACTCCCAAGTCGACCGTCCAAAAACAAAATATCACCCGCCCCAACACATCACCCCATTGGGCGCTCCCATGTACAGCGGATGCACACGTACCCTTTGGGTCAAGAGTGCACTCGCGACGTTTAGGTGCAACGCGACATCCCGCTCTGGACATATGACAGGGGTTGTAGAGAGGTTTTCGCGCGTGAGACGTACTTAACCTCAAATTGACACTAACATGTTAGCAGCGATTCACTACGGAGCGTAAACCCTCACTCTGGGTCTCTCCCCCACCTCCCCACCACACCCTCATCTTTGCCCGGGGGATGTCTGCTACAAGAGAGCGCAACCAACAGCCTCCTCACTTCGAGAGCTCGCGCTTGGACGCATTTTCCATTAGCAGACTCACATTATCAGGGTGTTCCGCTACACCCTGCCCCGCCACGGAGATGCCGGCTCGCAGTCCCGGTGGTGCCGCCTCTCCTCTCTATTCTGC